TTCCTGGACTCTCACTATCCAAATATTTCCCACACAATAATTTTCTCTTTCTTTTAGTTTTTTGTTTGTTTGTTTGTTTGTTTTTGAGAAAGGGTCTCTCTATGTATCTTAGATGTATTTATATTATTTGTGTGAATGTTCTGTCTGAATGTATGCATGTACACCATGCGAATGCCTGGTGCCTACAGGGGTCATGGTGCCCTGGCAGCCCTGGAACTGAAAGTTACGAATGTTTGTAACTCACGATATAGGTTCTGGGATCCGACCCTGGATTCTCTGCTAGAGCAACACCTGTTCTTACCTACTGAGCCATCACCCCAACCCCTGTTTTAGGATTTTCTTGTTATTTATTTACTTTACATCCTGACTGACGCTTCCTCTCCCTCCTGTCCTCCAAGTCCCTCCCTCTCACTTTGACCACCCCCTCCCCATCCACTCCTCCCTTTCTCCTCAGAAAAGGGGAGGCCTCCCATGGATTGATATTAAGTTGCAGTGAGATTAGGTGCCAGAGGGGTCAAGGACACCACAAGAAAACCTACGGAATCAACTAACCGGGGCCCATAGGGGCTCACAGAGACTAAACTGCCAACCAGTGGGATGGACGTACATTTTAGCATTTTTGAGGCAGGGTTTCCTATGTATCCCAGGCTGATCTCAAACGAAGCAATCCTGCCTAACCCTCCCCCGATGGTGGAATTAAAGGCATTGACCACTCACTTGGCTTTGATTTGATCTTTTGTTCTCCTTTCTCCTGGAAACACCAAATCTGCTATTTCTGGGCTACTCACCCATTTAGAGCTTGCTGGCCTGCTCTAAATGGGTGAGTAAGCCTCCTGAGTGCTTAGATCACTGGTGTGTGCATGTGCCCTGCTGTGCTGCCATTAAGGCTTGTGGGCGTGCAGGCTGTGAGCCCCTGTTCCAGTGGGGTGCTGCCCTCTGCATGTCCAGTGTGTTAGGCACAGCTGCTGTGCTTCCCCATCCTAGGTCACTCTGTTGACTTGCTTCATTTTCTGGATTGTCTAATCAACTTGGGTCTTAGCATGGAAGAATCTTGAATCTCTTCAGCTTGATTTTGGTTGTTACTCCCCGAGGTCATTACGGTTCATACCTGACTCCACGACCCATCCTGTGGTACACACAAGCAGTACTAAGGAGCTTAGGTTTGAATGCTTATGAACTGGTGGTGGGTTTTTTTTTTTTAAAGATTTATTTATTTAGCATTTATGCAACATTCTTCCTGCATATGTGCCTGCATGCCAGAGGAAAGCACCAGATATCACTATAGATGGTTATGAGCTATCAGGTCACCGCTGGGAATTGAACTTAGGACCTTTGGAAGAACAGCTAGTGCTCTTAATCTCTGAGCCACCTCTCTGTCTGAAATCGGTGTTATAAATGTTTTCTGTTATGTCCTAGCATTATGGCTTATAATAAGAGTGTAAGAGAATTTTCACAGAGGTGGGTGTTGTGTGCCTTTAATTCCAGCACATGGGAGACAAAGGCAGAAAGGATCCTGGGGGACATGGGTGCCCTGAGCTGCACATGGAAAGCTACTGAAAGATACAGCGGCACTTAGAAGACTGAGCCAGGAGGATTGCTATGAATTTAAGGCCAGCCCTGGCTATAAAATGAGACTCTGTCTCAAAACAAACAAACAAACAAAACAAAAATAACCAAAATTGTGGGAGGAGCTGGAAGGGTGGCTCAGTGGTTAAGAGCACTGGCTGCTCTTGCAGAGGACCCAGGTTTGGTATCCAGCACCCACAAGGCAGCTCACAAAGATCAGTAAATCCGTCTCCAAGGGCCCTAGGCCCTGTTCTGGCCTCTGCAGGCCTGCACACAAGGAGTGCACATACATGCACACAAGCAAAACACCCATATAAATAAAATCTTTATAAGGCCAGTGGCATTGCTCCGTGGGTAAAGGCACTTGCTGCTAAGTCTGATGATCTGAGTTCAATCCCCAGGACCCATAGAAAGAAGAAAAAAACTCCTGCATGTTGTTCTCTGACCACCACCGTGTGTGTGTGTGTGTGTGTGTGTGTGTGTGTGTGTGTGTGTGTGTTTTACATGGTATTACATGCCTGTAATTCCAGTATTTAGGAGGTGGAGACAGAGGATCGGGAGTACTAAGCCACATAGTGAGTTCTAGGCCAGCCTGGCTTACATCAGACCTTACCTCAAGAGAGGAGATGGAGGTGTGTTGTAGTTCATTGTAGACTGCTTGCTTAGCAAGCTCTGTGATCCTGGGTTCAGTCCCAAGGTTGAATCCTGTACTATGGTTGGACAATAACTTTACACCAGTGTTTTCAAAATGTTCTAGCATAGTGGGCCATCTTTAATTTGAGAGGGGAGAAGAGGAGATAGGTTCTGGCTGTGTAGCCCAGGTTAACTTTGAATTTTCCACCCTCCTGCCTTAGCCTCCTGAGTGCTGGGATTACGGATGCCCATTAACATGCTTGATTCAGTGTGCTTTCTTCTACCTCCTCCTTCCTTCTTTTTTTTTTCCAAGACAGGGTCTCATTTAACCCAAGCTTGTCTGGAACTATGTGGCTGAGAATGATCTTAAAACAACTTCTCTCTCTCTCCCTTTCCTTTTCTTTCCTTTTCCTTTTCTCCTTTTCCTTTCCTTTCCTTTCCTTCCCTTCCGTTCCTTTCTTTCTCTCTCTCTTTCTTTCTTTCACTTTTTTCCAGACAGGGTTTCTATGTCACTTTGGCTGTCCTGGAATTCACTCTGTAGACCAGGCTGGCCTCATACTCTGAGATCCCCCTGCCTCTGACTCCCCAATACTGGGATTAAGGCTGTGCACGACCTTGAATTTCTGATCTTTCTGTTCACCTTCTGATTGGTAGGATTAAAGGCATGTGACACCATGCCCAGTTTTATGTGGCACTGGGGACCAAACCCAAGGGCATTGTGCATTCTAGGCAACCCTCCACCAGCTGAGCTGTAGCCTCGGCCCTTCATGTCTCATAGTCAAGATACCATACACCACATTTTCCTGCTCTCGAAAAAAGTCCACATCTGGCTCCTGTCACCTCCCACACTGGCTGCGTCCTTGGTCCCATCTGTAGCTGGCTTCTGAGTCTACCGCACACTCTCTACTGTTCAACTGTTCCCCGTATGTCCACAAGAGGGCATCAGTTCCTACGTCTGGGAGCTCCGGTTCCCTGCTCCGAGGCGTCCAAGGCGTCCTCATAGCCCACAGGACCTTGGTAGCATCCCTTTTAAGTCATTTCTGTAGCCTCTTCTACACACCCACCCCCACTCACGCCGTACATACTGGCTTGCTTTTTGTTCATTTGGTTTTGTTTTTTTTTGAGACAAGGTCTCACTCCATAGCCCTAGCTTGCCTGAAACTCCAGGCCGGAACCTCCCTCCAGCCTTTTTTTTTCTTTTGGTTTAGTTTGTTTCGTTTTTTTCCAGTCAGGGTTTCCCTGTGTAACAAAGCCCCGAGCTGTCCTGGACTCACTTTGTAGACCAGGCTGGCCTTGAAGTAACAGAGATACGCCTGCCTCTGCCTCCCAAGAGCTTAGATTAAAGGCGTGTGCAACCACTGCCCGGCTCCCTCTTCTTAAAAAAAAAAAAAAAAAAAAATGTTTGTGGGGCTGGAGATAAGGCCCAGCGGTTAAGAGCACTGTCTGCTCTTCCAGAGGACCCGGGTTCAATCCCACCACCCACAAGGCAGCTCAAAACTGTAACTCCAGTTCCAGGGGATCAGACACCGACACCCTCACACAGACACACATTCAAGCAAACATAAACAAATTAAAAAATGAAAGAAGTAACAAAAATGTGTTTGTATGTTGTGTGTGCATGCATACGCATGCACGTTCCTGTGCAGTGTGTAGGACTATGCCGTTTTCTCCTTCCACCATGTGGATCTAGGGATGGACTCCAGGTCTTCAGGCTTGGTGGCAAGCACCCTGACCCCTTGTCTTGCCTGCTAGCGATTTCTTGCATTATGCCAGGCTGGCTCTTGCGCCAGAGCCTTTGCTCTGGCTGTTGCTTCCTTCCCCTAGACACCTTCGGCCCAAATCTCTATGTGGGTCTTTCTTCATCTTTTTCAACTCTTTCTCAAAGGTCACCTCAGCAAGGTCTTCTCTGAGGATATTAGTTCAATCCCCACCCCCATGCACCACTCTTACCCACCCATCACTGACTCTAGTTATTTGGGTAGTTTTTGTTTTACTTTTATTTTTATATTTATTGATTTTTATGCATGCAGCATACATGCATGTAGAGGTCACAGAACAAATCCCAGATTTCTCTGTCCAGCCTGTGGCCTCTAGGACTCCAACTCAGGCCCTGAGGCTCAGTGGTTAGCATCGTAATCTACTGGACAGTCTAGTCTCCTGGGTCTGGTTTTTGTTCTGTTTTGAGACAGGGTCTTGCTTAATAGCCTAGAGTAGCTGAGAACCCAACATGTAGCCGAAGCTGACCTAGAATTTTCTACGTAGCTCAGGTTACCCTTGAGCTCCTGCTTCTGCCTCTATCTCCATAAGTGCTAGGGTTGAAACTAAGGCCTTATGCATGCTAAGCAAGCATTCAGCTGCTCTCCCGGGCAATACTATAGTCCCAGCCAAAAGGCTAGTCATTTGTATTACTATGCAAATGTGTGGGTCCCCCTTTTTGACACCCTAGGAGGTAGTCTGACACTGGTACCCACTAAGCTAGCAGCTCCAAATGTACTGGAGGATGTTATGTGGCTAATTCCCAAGTGCCTTGGGCAACAAGATTTTCCGATGAGATAGGCAGACCTTGGCCAAGTCTCTGATGTAGCTGACACAAGCTTCCGTCATTTCACATGGGTGTTACACTTCCTGGGAGATCCAGAGAACCTTGTGTTTACAATGGAGACTTCAACATGGGGAATAGATCAACAGTATTTTCAACTACAAAGAAGAAAGGCTACATTTAGTTGGTCTGATCTCGATGTACAGGTTATTAAAATGTAGAAATAAGTTCCCTTCTGGCTGGTAATAAATCAGTAAAGTGGTAAACTTACACATTCTTTATTAATTTACTGGGGAAGGCCAGGCATGCTTCTCATCCACCATGTGGGACCTGGCAATCCAACGGAGGTTGACAGGCTTGGCGGCAAGTGTTTTCAGCTGCTGAGCCATCTTGCTGGCCCTATTATCATTATCGTGTGGGGGACGGTCTGCTACTCATGACCCAGGATACCCTTCAAGAGTTTCTTTGCCTTATTCTTTGTATTTTCTAGACAGGGTTTCTCTATGTAGCTCTGGCTGTCCTGGAACTCGCTTTGTAGACCAGGCTAGCCTCAAAGTCTCAGAGATCTGCCTGCCTCTGCCTCCCAAGCGCTGGGATTAAAGATGTGTGCCACCACTGCCTGGATTTGGGGTTTTTGTTTTGCTTGTATTTTCTGCTGCCCTTGAGAACCAGAAAATGCATCCGATCTCCTGGAATAGGGGTTAGTGATAGTTCTGAGACACCTTGTGCATTTCAAGAATGGGACCTGGGTCTTCTGCAAAAGCACTTGTCTATTTGATGCTGAGCCAGAACTTTAGCCCCTGTGTAAAGTTACATGCCTGCTGGTGATGTGAACTCAAGTCTCATGGTTGAACAGTGTCCTAGTTTGATTTCCGTTGTTGTGATAAAATTCCATGACCAAAAGCAACTTGGGGAGAAAAGGGCTTATTTCCTACAGCCCACAGGTCACAGTCTATCACTGAGGGAAGTCAGTGCAGGAACAAGGAGGCGGGAACTGAAGCAGAAGCCATGGAGGGGTATTGTTACTGGCTTGCTCAGCCTGGTTCTTATATAACTCAGGACCACCTTGCTCAGGGGTGCCACCATTCACACGGTGGGCTAGGCCATCTCTCATCAATCACTTAATCAAGAAAATGCCCCACAGACTTGCCTACAGGCCAATCTGATTGAGGCATTTTCTCAATTGAGGGTCCCTTTCCCAGATGACCCTAACTTGTGTCAAGATGGAAAAAAAAAAAAAACCAGCACATATAACAAGCACTTTTACCCACTGAGAGCCCCTCCTTCCCTTTTCTTGAGACAGCATTTCTCTGTATAGCCCTGGCTGTCTAGAGTCAGCTATGTAGACCAGACTGGCCTCAAACTCACAGAGATCCTCCTGCTTCAGCCTCCTGAGTGCTGGTGATAAAGGCGTGCGTCACTACACTGGGCCCAATAGTTTGTTTTTTTGAGACATGGTCACTTGTAGCTCAGCCTGGCTTGCTCCATGGAGGTGTTGATGGCCTTGAACTTCTGCTCCTCCTGCCTCCACCTCTCAAGTGCTGAGGTTGTAGGCAAAAACCACCGTTCCCGGGTTTTACTTTGCTTGAGATGGAGTCTGGCTATGTTGAAGGCTGGCCTTGACATCCTGGGCTGGAGATACTCTAGCCTTAGCCTCCCAAATAGCTGAGATCACAAATGCATACAGCTGTGCCCGGCTTTCATAGTTGGCTTTTATTATTTTATAATAAATATTTTGTAATATTTTATAATAAATAAGTTAGTTATTATCATTTTGTGGTACAGGTGATCAAGTCTAGGGCCTGTGCAGGCTAGATAAACCTGAGAGCTACATCCCTAGCCCTGTGCTTTAAAAAAAAAAAAAATCAAGATTACATACCTATAATCCTAGCACCTGGGAGACTGAGGCAGGATTGCAAATTGCAGGCTAGCCTAGGATCCATCGCAAGGACAGACTTTGGGTCAAGGAGCAACAACAAAAATCCTCCTTTGGACCACACTTTGTGGTGCATACTTGTAATCCCAGTACTCCACATGCAGAGACAGGAAGATCATAAGTTTGAAGCTATCCTGAGCTAGAAAGTTAGACCCTGTCTCAAACTCCTGTTCCTCCCAGTAAAATGAATTGGGGGGAGCGGGGTCACATCCAGGAAGTGTGTGGAACAAGTCCTAGAATGAAGCCAAAAAACCCAAAAGGCTCTATTCATTTTGAATTTTTAAATTTTAAAGTAGCATAATTTAAGACTTATTTAACAATAACAGCCTGGTAGTAGCAGTTTGAACATAATTTATATGCATGATCAAATAAGGAAAAAAATTTTAACCTGTTAAGTGGCATAATAGCCACCGAAAGGCCCTACTTGGGTACTATTTTCTGCAGCAGGATCTAAAGAGGAAGTGAAGTGTAGGCCTTGAAATGATGACCTGAATTCAAGTCCCCTATTGGCCACTTCCTAAACTATCTGGTTATAGTAAGTAACTGTCGTTTGGCCTCATTTTTCCTCCCCGACAAATGGATATAATAGCAGCTGTCAATTCAGGGGTGGGAGGATAAATCCGGTCGTGTGTATGCCTGGGCCTCAGGAAGCTCTCTGTAAATGAGCCATGATTAAGGTTTACCCCTCCTGGCAGCTGGGGAAACAGGTATCGAGGACTGGAATAGATGTAATATGTCAGCCAGGATCCCAAACCAGAGCCTTATTAGTCCTCTGGGAGCACGACGGGATTAAAAGCAGCAGATACCTCACGCGGCGCTCTCCAAGAACAGTGCCACAGGAGGGGAGGTGGCCAGTGCTGTCTCCACTTCCCAGAGCCACTCCAAGAAAACCAGAGATGCGGGCTAAGAGAAGGTGCCCGCCTTCATCAAAGATGAAATGGAGGGACAAACGCACCCTCTGGTGGAGGAAGCAAGCACTACAGCTAAGGGTCCTGAGGATTATAGACACCAATGGAGGCAATTCAGTATCTCAAAAGAAACTGAGGTGGAGAGCGAGACTGAGTGACTAACTGGTTCAGGGCCACGTAAGGTGAATGTGGTAGACTGAAGCTGGCCGGTCTGTTCTCCGGACCTCACTTTCCAAGGGTCTACGGCTCCTGGAATATAGGGCGGAGACGATGAAGGATGGACTCAAATCCCTGGGCTTTGACTTCGAAGGCCACCACTTTCCTCCATTACGAGGATGGGCTAGGAGGTCTCCACACACAGTCCATCTCACGGCTTCAGAATCTACGTGTTGCGCCAGCCTTCGGCTGGGTTCTGCTTCCCGCCAAAGCCAGAGCTGTCCTGAGGGCTTCCGCCAGTCTTCCTTGTACACTTTTTTCTCCAGTGTACACCCCCACTGCCCACTCAAAAAAACTTGTTCAGATCCACACAGAACCCCAAAGGCAAAGAACAGATTCCTGTACCCCGCTGTTCCCTCCACCCGGTCCCATTGGGGGCAACGGGGCTTCAGCCGCCTGTCAGGCTTAGGAGTGCAGGGTTGGGGTACTCCGGGTTCTCGATGACCCCAGGCCCGAATTTGAGCTCCAGGAAGCGGCGGTAGTTGTTAGGGGCCTGTGCCACGAAGCCGGCAAAGGGCAGGGGGACCAGCGGCTGCAGAAAGTGCTCTGGGAACTCCACATCCTGCCGGTGGTCCAGCCACGTGTCCTTGGTCATGACCCCATTGCGGGGGTAGAAGGGCCACAGGTCCACGTGCAGGTGGTTGCTCTCGCTGTACTGCACTCGGAAAAAGTCACCCTCCACCGCCTTCTCCCACACGAAGCCGCGTTCATCCACCACCGAGCCGGCCTCGGCGCCGCGCAACTGCTCGCAGTTGCCCACGTCCTCCAGGTAGATGCCCAGGTCTACGTCGTAGTCCCATGGGATGATGTCGCCATGGCGGGCTGCACCCAGCAGCGAGCCGCCCTCCAGCCAGTAGCGCACGCCCGCCGCCTCCAGCACGCCCACCACATAGCGCGCAGTCTCGCGCAGCGCGCGCAAACAGCAGGGCGGCGTCCAGCGGCCCTCGTACAGGTAGGCGGGGGTGTCGCCCGCCACGGTGCCGAAGCAGCGCGCGCTCTCCTTGCTGCAGCCGAACCACTCGAGCCGCCCGCCCTCCCAGCTCACCAGGCGGATACCCAGTGTGCGCAGCAGCGCCGCCCTCCGCGAGCGCCCCTCGCGTTCTGCCTTCCAGCGCGCGTGGGCGGTGGCCAGCGGGGGCTGGCGAGCCGCGGCGAAAGTCAGGTCCAGCAGCTGCACTGCCCAGCCGCGCAGGGCGGTCTGTAAGAAGAGGCTGGTGGTCAGCGGCCGCGCCAGGGGCGCGGAGAGGTTGAAGAGGTCTCGGGAGCGCAGCAGCAGCACGGCGTCGCCATCCAAGGCGTCGCAGCGGGGCGCGCTGAGCGCTGGGCCGTAGCGCGCAGTCCACTCCCGGAGGCTCACGTTCAGCGCCAGACACCGCGCTGGGTTGGCGGTGGCGACCGGGGCGGCCACTAGACGCGCGCTGCTTCCCCGGAGCGCCTCCACCATACGCTCCAGGTGGCCTGGTGACTCGGCCCGCGCTCCGTCAGGCACCAGGGCCACGAACTCGGTAGTCACGTAGGTCTCCGGGCGCGAGGCCGAGGCTGGCCTATCTAGGGCCGGCTGGAGCAGCGCCAGGCGAACGTTGGGGATGCGAGGCAAGGCCAGGGGTGGGTAAGGGAGTGTGTCGGCCGCCACCACCACGGGCTGGGCTGGGTCCTGCTGCAGGAAGGAATCCACCAGCTCTGGCACCGCGTTGTCAAAAGCCTCAAATTCCCGAATCAGGACGGTGACCCGGGGACCAATGGCAGGAGTCCGGCGGGGTCCCCGTGCCCGGGAGTTTCTGGGCTGGTGTTGTAGCCATGACACATAGAAGAACACTAGGAGGTTGAGGATGATGGCGGCTGCCAGGGCAGCCCAGCAGCGGGAGAGCCGCATGGGGCCCGATGTCAGACCCTAGCCTGAGCGTCCAGGGCATCCTGGGGAAATAGGATGAAAAGGGAGTCTGGAAAAAGTTGTCAGCATTCCCCTTCCTCAAATTCTCAGCCCCTCTTCCTGGATCTGATTTCAGACCCTAGGGCTCCTAGGTTGGCTCATGCCTCTACCCAAGGCGGCCCACTTGTTTTCCACTCACAGTGAGTTCTTAGGTTAATGGGTGAGGGCCTGTTTAAAACCAAAACCCAAAGCTAAACCCAGACCCCTCGAACAAAGTGCTGCTTGCTACAGAGGGTGGAGGAAGAGAACAGGGAACTGTCTGATGTGTAGACTTCTGATTTTTCCGTGTGATGCTAGAGGACCCAGAGCCCTTCCCTTGCTAGATCAACGCTCTACCACCAAGCCACACTCCCAGCCTCACTGCTGGATCCAGCCAGGTAGTTCAAGTACACCCTTGGCACCCAGTTTTAGTGTTGTGCAGTGAAACGATGCTGGCATCTCACTTGACCAACAGTGTGAGTGTTTAGAGGCAGGAGTGTGGAGTTTCACACAATATCACAGCTGGGTCTACAGGTGTGCCACAGCACACAAGTATAGATGTCCTTAGGACCACTGAGCTGTGTGTGAGACTGGTTTGATGTCAAGGGTATTAAGATTACAATTTTAAAAGATGTAGTACACTCTGTAACCCAGCCCTCAGAAAACAGAAGGGGGGGTGGGGACGGAGTTCAAGGCAAGCACGGGCCACATGGTGAGGCGTTCTGTCTCAACAAAACAAAATAAACACAAAAATCCAAACGAAAGAGGAGGAAGAGGAAGAAAGAAGCAACAGCTGCTGCCCTTTAACCCCAGCACTCAGGAGGCAGGGGCAGGTGGATCTCCATGAGTTCAAAGTCAGTCTGGTCTACAGCGTGAGTACCAGGATAGGGAGGGCAACAGGCTCTGTTTTTTATTTTAAAGGGGCTGGGGACATGGCTTAGCAATAAAAGGCTAATCTAGAATTCACCATCAAGGGATGCTTTGGGGGAGGGTGGCTTTTAGTGGCATAATTGCATAACATAAAAAGGTATATTTAATCCACAATACTACAAAGAAGAGGGGGAGCTGGCCATGGTGACACACACCTGTAATTCCAGCACTCAGGGAGGCAGAGGCAGGTGGATCTCTGTGAGTTTGAGGCCAGCCTGGTCTACAAGGAGAGTCCAGGACAGCCTACACAGAAAAACCCTGTCTCAAAAAACCAAAATAAAGAAAGAGAAGAACCAAACATAAAGCAAGGGTGGAGAAATGGTTCAGCTGTGAAGAGCACTGGTGCTTGCCACATGGCTGCTCACAACTGTGGCTCCAGTTCCATGAGCTTGATGCCCTTTTCTGACCTCTTGAGGGCACCAGGCACACATGCAGTCCATAGACATGCAAACAGACAAAACAGTCAATATGCTCAAATAAAAATAAAGCGAGGAAACTGAGGCACAGAGGTGAAGTTGCTTGCTCAAAGTCACACAGCTGAGAAGAGGAACATGGAATTTGATGCAAGAAGCCAGTTCCAGAATCCTGTTTCAAACAGATAAACCAACAGGCAGAGTGGCGCTTGCCTTTAAGCCCAGCATTCTAGAGGCAGAAACAAGGGGGTCTCTATGAGTTTGACACCAGCCTGGTAGACACAAGACTGTCTCAAAAACAAAAAATCTGCCCCTGGTAGACTGTTTTGCTTCATTGAGGTGGAGACCTCATTAACTACTAAAGGCTGCCTTTGAACTAAGACCTCTTGCTTTCTGACTGCTGGATTACAGGCATATGACACTATGTCCACCCGACTCTTACACTTTCTCATAAACCTTTTCCAGAACTAGGCTGACATGTGCTCCTAAAGCTAAATACGGCCTGTGACTTATCAACCAAAGGCCAGTATATCAACAGGTAGGTGCTTAGCAAGTACTCTGGGCCAGGGTATTTTGCGTTTGTTTTTGAGACAGGGTCTCAATGTAGTCCAGGTTGATTCTGGACTAGGTATGCAGCTGAGGGATGATCCCACCCACCAAGGGCTGGGCTGGGAATACGGGCAGGAACTACCATCTCCCACAAGCACTCTACCAGCTGAGCTATATCCTTTGTCCAAGCCCAGCCTCTGTGTTCAGGGAGCTGTGTTCTGCAGATCTGAGGAGGCAGGCAAACCACAACAGCTTACTGGTAAGGTGGGGGACCAGCAGGGGCATGAGTGAGTAACACAGGGCCTTGCCTGGGAGACCGGTCAGGGAAGGGAGGGTGAGGCTGGGCTCTTACTGGCTTTCCATTCCTTCCCCCAAACATTATATATGCTGGATACACTGTTAAATGCTTGTAATTCCGGCACTTGGGAGGTGGAGGCAGGAGAATTAAAAAATCCTCCTAGAGGGGGCTAGAAAGATGGCTCAGCAGTTAAGAGCACTGGCTGTTCTTCCAGAGGTCCTGAGTTCAATTCCCAGCAACTACATGGTGGCTCACAACCATCTGTAGTGGAATCTGATGCTCTCTTCTGGTGTGCATGAAAAACAGTATGTTCATATACATAAAATAAATCTTTAAAAAAAAAATCAAGGTTATCCTTGGCTACTGCTTGAGTTTGAAGCCAGCATGGGCTACATGAGACTGTCAGAAAAAAATCCAGACCAACAACAAAACAGTGCTTTAAGTCTGGTGAGATGGCCCAGCAGGTAAAAGCACTTGACAAAAAGCCTGACCTGAGTTTAGCCTCCAGCACCCAAACTACAGAAAGAATCAATTTCAGCAAGTTGTCCTCTGACCTCCACACATGTATAGGCACACAACAAACAAACAAATGAAAATTTAAAGTGTATATAAGTGTGTTGCTTGCAATTGGCCTGAGCCTTATCAGCCACAGTAGGTACAAAAAGGAGGATCTATTCGGGGAAACCTTTAAGGACACAGAAAGGGAAGTATCCATGTGATTATTGTTATATCAAGACTCTTACCTCCCTAGGTTTCAGGCTGAGGGTGATCAAGAAGGGTGGTTCCACCTTGGGTCATCTGGCCTGCTGAGGGAGGAACCAGGAAACATCAAATGAACCGAAGCCAACACAACAAAGTGCAATTTCATTCTGCCCACAAAAGTAGCATTTACAAAACCAAGGACTCAGCTGGGTATGGTGGCACACACCTTTAGTCCCAGCACTCAGGGAGGCAGAGGCAGGCGGATCACTGTGAGTTCGATGCCAGCCTGGTCTACTGGTCTACAAAGAGAGTCCAGGACAGCCAACGCTACACAGAGAAACCCTGTCTCAAAAAAAAAAAAGAAAAGAAAAGAAAAAGTCAAGGACTCTTTTCCGTTTGAAGTCTATAAGCTTGGTTTACAACTTCAATTGTCTCAGGGGTGGGGTCGGTGGGAGTTATCAATTGTAAGCATATAACTATGCTTCTTCCATGATGGTGTCCAGAAGAAGGGCAGACATGACAACAGCTGTTACCATGACAACCCCTTCCCTAGACACATGCATCCTTTGGAGATAATCCTAAAACATCCCCTATCTTCCTGGACCTGGTTGCTAGAACCACTAGGTGGGAGATTGCCCTGTTATGGTAACCAGGCCATGGCTTTGATTGTTTCTCATCTCCCTGGAAATGGTCCAGGGCCCGTAACCATAGCAACTGTCCCACAGCAGCGCTTCTCTTCTAAATAAAAACACCTGGTTGGTTTGTTCACGGACCTCCCATATGGGAAGGGGAGATGGTTACCATGGTAACGCCAAGTGGGTTGGCTGAGGGAGGGGTAGGACAGAGACATTCCGAGGAATGTCTTGGGGGCTGGGTTCTTTTCTACCTGAGCGCTAGGTGAGGGGAGGTTGTTATAGTAACTGATGAGGACAGGGTCAGAAGAACCACCAGGGACTTGGGTTACCTTGGCAACCTTCTTCTGGTGCGTTGATGGTAGAGGTTTGGGGCTCCACATAGGCAAGATGGGAGGGGGCTGAAAGAGACCTCCAGGTTGGACAGGGTTACTATGACAACCGACTTGGTCAGGATTCAGGACGGGGCCCACTCCCCACCCCAGATCGTCTATTTTTTTTTCCTCTTACTAAGTGAAAGTGATACAAGGCTGCATTTGTATATGGGGGGGGGGGGGGGGG